ACTAGAAATCAGTGGTTAAGTTGTATTTACAACACTGTTCCAGAACAGTTCAACCCAAATATTCAGATGTGTCCAGCGCATTTTATGGAGGACTGTTTCCTGATCCTGGAAGAATAGACTACAATGCCGGCTGTTCTGACTCACAGACTGTAAGTACGTTTTCTATATTAAAGAATTTTCCACTGACGATTCAAATGCGAATTTTGAGCAGTGTAGAGTAGCGCTTGTTGTTTGTCATTTCTCCGATCACAAATGCAGACATGGTTTTATGTTTACGCGGCACGATGAAATGCGTAAAAAGACAGTATATGTCATTATAATCCGTAATTATGTCCCCACTGGATGCAACAAATGCCTCGTTTATAATTTGTCTCGTCGCTCCGGCCGGACAGGGCATCACAGTATGGTAGGGGCGTAACTTTTCCGTCACATGCTTGAGGTATTCGGCCAATCACAACGCACTGGATTGCTGGCCAATCAGAGCACACCTCGCTTTTCAGACCGATGAGCTTTGTAAAAATCGGCTTGTTTTGCAATTCAAGACAACGGTCATAATAGTGCACCAAAACCCAATCATTCTTACCATCGTTCTTTTTGTCAAGGCTCTTGAAGACCAGCCTCAGTTTCTTCTCATGGTCCCTCAGGTAGTGCACAAACTCCTCAAAGTCCAACTGACCATCCAAGTCTTTGTCTCCAGCCTTGACGATTTTCTGAAACACATACACGCAGGAATCAACATCAAAACCTCAACACAGAATCAAGCCAGGTCATTTTTGGGGTCAGTGAGCTGGTGCTGTTCAGGGTGTTGAGCTAATGGGTCACTAGGGACAGACATATGGCCTTTGTTTGCTGAAGAGAGTATTGAAAGGACCATGCTGAACATTCTCATGAGCTTCAGCTTTATGAGCTTTAGGGAACAAGCTGTCTGAACCATTGAGCAGTATATAATTGAAGGCAATGGAAAGGGATGGAGAAGATGAATTAATCATTAACCTGAAGTATTTTAGAAGGACAGAAACAAAGTGAATATGTGTTTCCAGTTTTAATAGCAAATCAGGCCCATAGTATGATTCCTGGCTGATGTTGCTTTGACAGTGTGTGTAGGGCCTACCTCATGGGGTGACAAAAACTTTGGCCTGTCCACTACTAAATTTTTCAACCAAAGGCAAAAAAAAAAAAATCTGCATTTCATAATGAGCCACTGAAAAACAGATCACCGAGTCAGATCATTTGTTACTTCTCATTGTGAGATTATGGTTGTGCATAATGATACCTAAACAGATTAGAAGTGTCTGAATAAACTAAAATTCACTTCTATATTGGCTACAAGAGCTCAAAACCCAGTCACAAGCCCATATAATCCATAAATAAAGTCATTTTTTATGGCATCTGTGCTCATTAAAACCACCAAGAAGCCATGTAAACAAAAAAGCATTTTTAACAAAACAAAAAGTAAAAGCTAAATTTATTAAGTATTTTCATAAAAAAATATAAGAATAATTAATTATTATTGATTGATTTATAACTATTAAAAATCATTTTCAGTAACTGAAAGCTGAATAAAATAAAATAAAATAAATATAAATAAAATATAAATATGATTTGAAAATTCTTAAAAACAAAATGAATGAAAATTAGAATTGTTGCCTTGGCAACTGAAATAAATATATTTAGGATGAAGTACTAAAATTAGTAATTAAAACTGAAATAAAAATTAACTGAAACTATATGTAAATAAAAAAAACTAATACAAATTACAAAAGCACATAAAATAACTAAAACTTAAACTAAAATTAAAGGGGTCCTTGATTATGATTTCACCTTTTGTAACTTTAGTTAGTGTGCAATGTTGCTGTTTGAGCATAAACAACATCTACAAAGTTATGATACTCAAAGTTCAGTGCACTGCACAAGGAGATATTTTATTTTACAGAATTCGCTTTTTAAAGCCTACAACACACAGCTGGTAGAGACTACAAAGAGCTTATTCCTGGGTTGGTGACATCACAAACCCTAAAATTTACATAAACCCTGCCCCCGGGAACACGCAACAAAGGGGGCGAGGCCATGTTGGGCTGCTTTAGAGAAGAGGAAGAGTTGTTGTACTGTAGTAGAGTGTTACTGTTACAAATGAACAGTTACTCTACAAAAATGCTACAACGCAATCATGTATTCTGCTGTACTAAAGTTTTAATAAGGATAAAACCGTATATATCAAAAGCTAACATAAACAGCAGTAGCAATTTCAAACAACAGCGCATCTACAAAGTAAGAGACAACTACAAACAAAAAAACATACCATTCTGAAACGTTCTGCTCGATCCTCTTCACTAATATTCTCTGGGTCTGATTCAGGCTCAAACTGATAAGGCAATATTGACGCCATTGTTACCAATACACCGAAGCACATGCAACTACCCGTAACGGTTAAGGGGGCGTGACGTTTCCGGACAAAGTGCACTAGGCGGTTATTGAATAACAACAATCTGGGCCAGCTAACCAATCTGAGCCCATTGTGTATTTCTGAGGGAGGGGCTTCATAGAACAAGTAACTCAACAGACCGTTTTGAGAAGAATGGCAAAACGGTGGTGTAGAATAAAAGTAAAATATGTGAAAAATAATGTTTTTAAAAAATGATGCATAAACACGTTACACTACACCCCATTAACACAATCAAGCCTTCAAAAATAGCTGACTGACCACCCCTTTAAAAATGAACACTGAAAATATAAAATAAAGCATCCTACACACTACACAATCGTTTTTAACATAATAATACAGATGACATACCTTTCGCCATTTCCTGTATGAATCGAATTCTTGTGATGGAAGAAATAAACTCAACTTGAAAAGAGACTTCAGCTGCGCCGGTAAACTGTCAGACTCAAAATACTCAAATTCTATCCGTTCTGAGATATGGACAGGAATGTAAAGACACAAACACAACATGTTCAGCTAAAAAAAATTTTTTTCAATAAATCAATAAAACTAAAAACTTGAAGGCAATGTAAGAAGATACATATGTACACAGCTCTAGTTTGTTCTTGAAGCCTCAGGACTATAATGCCAGTATTTCTGTCACATGGGATTGGGGACATATAAATCCCTCCCATTTCAAGGCTTGTACTGTGCACACTGCAATGTAATTGGCTCACATCATATACAGCATCACCTTCTTACAAGGCTTACCGGTGTATCGGTCTGAAAGATCATGCAACAGGCTGACAGTCTGGAATATTCATATAATTAAAATAAGGAAAACAGACAGCGTCTTATGTGACTATAAAGAACAAGATAAATCATCTAATTAAATATTATATTAAAGAAAAAAAAATATTTCAGCCCCCATAACATTAATTACCACTTATAAAACACATTTCAGCAAAAACTGTGCCATTCATAAAAATCTCCTATCCAGTCCTAAGGGACATCAGTAATAGGGTTGGGCCGATAGACGATGCCATCGAAATATGCCGATGGCTGTCAGACATCACGATGTTGAGCCGGCATCGTTTCACTGAAGACATTGTCCGATGCCAATTTGGTAGACATCGCCCAACCCTAATCAGTAAAGCTCATCAAATCCAGCAACAGTAACCAAGAGCTTAGCAAAGGGTCAATTCAGCAACAACAAATTAGTGAAATTGGTGGTCAGGACAAATAATGAAACAACAAACAGTTATATTGCTCAGTATGTGATTAATCTTGTTGGTCCCTAGAGATAACAGATAACTGAATCTGATCATTCACAATGTAATAGGGTCTAATCCTGTCACTAGCATGTGATCTTTCCTTAACGAGTCTGACCAGGTTTCTGACATGGGACCTGACCATACTATAATAATATTTAAAGGGGTCCTATTATGCTTTTTCACTTTTTGAATTTTAGTCAGTGTGTAGT